TGAAGACTACATTGAGAAGTATTCTAAGTATAGTATTGTTAAATATGTTGTCATTGCTATAGGTTAATTGTTTGCTGTTTGACTGTACATTAACTGAAGACTATAAAAAATTACATAACATTATTGTTTATAATTTTAGCATTTTTGTTTAATACACAATTACACATGCAAAGTTGTCTTTTTATCATTAATTATTATGAATTTTGATTAAAATTATTGCGAGAGACATTAATGCAGAAGCGGGTGCAATGACTTATAAACAGAAATGAGATTAAATCATGAAAAATGACAATAAAATAAGAAACACACTTCAGCCATGCATGTAGAGTACAATTAAGTCAACAATGATATTAATTAAATAAACCAGTCTTATAGTGTTACAGACCTTAGTTCCTAAACCCAGTCCAGGCCCGTAGCCAGGGGGGGTTCGGGGGGTTCGGACGAACCCCCTGTTGTAGCTGCAAAAAAGTTTTAGATTAGCTCCTGTCATGAAGAACAGCACTGCAAAAGCAGGATTAGCATTTTGGCAACAGCGAGAAGCACAGATAGCCATTTTAGCTGAGTCAGCACATGGCTGAGATGCGTAAATTAAGACCACGCCTACCAACCACGCCCATTTTGAAAAAAAATTTCGCTGCGCGCTTCGCGCGCAGCAATTTCCGAACCCCCTCTTTTAACTTCCTGGCTACGGCCCTGCAGTCTATAGATCTTCAGTATATGAATGAGAGATCAGTCCACCACCAGAAAGAAGGGACTATGAGTGTCATCAATAGGATACTGTGTTTGAGGAACATACCGTATTTCCTCATGGAAACACCTACTCCCAATAAATGTCCGTACCTGTATAAACGCCTAGAGACAGCATAAAACATTCACAATAAATGCCCATGCTTGTTTAGATGCCTATGCCACACCCACTTTGCCCACATGGCAGTTGTAGCTGAGAAGGAAGCTCATAGAAGAAGACTCCTCGGCAATGAATTTAAATGTCTATCCTCATATAAACACCTACTTCATTTAAACACCCAGCAAACGGGTCTCTATAAGAATAAATGCCTAGGTGCTTCCATGAGGAAATATGGTAATTACACAATATTAATATAATAAACTGATTTATAACTAAACTGCAGGTACTTTTACATTATACAAGTCATACTAATACACTAGTCACTACATCATACACTTACAAAACTGGGATTCTTCCAATTGATATCTGCCCCTTTAGAGAGGGCAATCCTCATTCCTTCAATATTTCCACTATAAGCAGCATCAAACAACTGTTGGTCCTACAGTATTAACAAGTGAATGAGTGTATTATTAACAGTTATTATAATAGTAATATTAATCACTCCTATGTCTCATTATCACATAATCTCATTCAAACACAAAATTCACAGAATATGTAACCAGTGACAATAACCGACCATAAACAACACATAAACAATACATGTACATATAAAAACAACTTTTAATGGAAAAATACACAAACAACCGAGCCATTCATTTACATGTACTTGTTAACATATGAGAGTATTTATTGATGGGAAGAAATTTTGGAGAAATTGTCTAAATTGATAGGTTGGCCAATTAAATTTTGGTAACTTCATTAACTCCTAACACGTGGCAGCTAATAATTGACAATAATTTGTGAGTTTCAATTTGGAGTATTCTTGTAATTTCACAAATTTAATTCCTCACCAATAAATCCTGCAATACAGTACATGTACATGTATATCCTTATAAGGAAAGAGAGTGTCCCTCCCTCTACAAAGAGTGTGTCTGGTGTATTAGTATACATTGAATCATTGAGTATCTATGACTGGACACATAAGTAAGACTAGGACTAGGGTAGTAGGAGAAGGAACACCTAGTGACAATATTACATAAATACCCAGTGGAAGAGATACAAACTACTACTGTATTTCCTTAAATAAAAGCCCGGGCGTCTATTTCCTAAAATAGTACTTGGATCTAAAAAATATATACATAAAAAATAAAAAAAAACTTTGGCCCACAGTGGGATTTGAGCCCGTAACCTCATGCTTTTGACTTCTGGAACTTTAGGCATTATCCACTAGACTACTGAGTCATAGGCGGCTGCAGAATTTTGAATTTACCCAGGCTCATTAATTATTCATAACAATTGGGGGTGTGGTCAATTAATTAAATAACTGAACATTAATGATACTAGCCACTTGAAGCCAGTTACCACACAAAAATAACTGTAAAGATGAACTGATACTGTGTATAAACAGTTGTGGTTATAAAAAATGAATTATAGTGATAATCTCACACTGCAAAAATAACGGTGGGTTGTTCACACCAAAAAAGGTGTGTTCAAAAGTCATCATATAGCTCACTCCATAAGTGGGTAAATTACACTTTAAAAAGTGGAGATTCCCACTACTATAGGTGGCAAAAAGCTATCAATAATAGTGGTTCCACAACATTTGCACATTGGATAAATAGT